GACACCCTACAAAGACTTCAGGGTGTGCACCCTTGGATTTTTAGCACCGACCTCCATTTTCAATGCCAAGCAGCCCACAATCTCTAACTTAAAGGCAAAACATGGATTTTGGGGAAATGTCCTCTGGTCTCTTAAGGGAGCACACTATCTTATGTCCTGGTATAACTTACAGCATGAACATATTCTCTCTAACCTTACAGAAACTATTCACCAGTTGGCAAATGTGGCAGCTTATGGTCTCTGGGAAATCCAGCAATCTTTGGATTCCTTAGCAAAAGTAGTTCTAGATAACAGAACAGCCCTAGACTACTTGCTTGCCTGAAGTGGGAATGTATGTGCTTTAGCAAACACATTTTGTTGCATGTATAACAATTCCAGGCAGATAGAGTTCTGTACTGCTCATATTTTGGAGAAAGCTAGTTGGATGCAAGAAATTCACAATAACTTTAGTGCTCCAAAATCTTTTTCATGGGAGTCCTGGCTTCTTTCTATACTAGTTCCTATTCTCATTCCACCACTGATCATATTTTTGTGTTTGTTTCATCCATTTTTACTAAATATCCTTGCCAGATTTTCCTTTCTTCTAGGGTTGGAGCCATCAACTTCCAGATGACTGCTCAGGCTATATACCAACCCGAGGATTCTAGCCTGCTGAACCTGGCATCAGCCAGGTTTTCACATTTGACCCCTCAAACAGGACCCAAGGAGGCAGGGACAGCTCTATGCCCCTTGCCAGCAGGAAGCAATTTCAGAAGTCAAGACCTTCGCCCCTTTCCCCAAAATAATTTAGGTCAAATTTGTTTGAGGGGGGAATTATGGGGTGTGGCCCAAGCCAAGGTCTTTGCCCCTTGCCCCAAAGGGAATCTGACTCCCCTTTTGTCTACAGGCCCCAGCCCCTCATCTCCCTTTGAAAGCCTTAGCCTACCTTTTAATCTCATTCAGATACCTTTCTGTTCCTTCATTATCTATTCCCATTTGTCTGTTCAATCTCTTAGACATTCCAATCTCTGGGAATTCTCACCCAGACCCTTTTCCCAGACCATTTTCCCAGACCCTTCCCTGGTCACCTAAAGTATATAAGACCTGCCCTGGCCCTCACTGGGGCCTGAGAATCTCAGGCTCAAAAGGCTGAGAACCTCTCATGCCCCCTTGTCTTTACAGGCGTCAGCTGGCCCTAAGTGTTTTATCACTAATAAACTTTTCCTCTGGCTGAAAAAAAAGAAAGAGACTATACTTGGGATTTTATATTCATCTTTACTTAATCACTTCTTGTTAGAGGGCCCACTAAATACTTGCATAGTTGGGAGAAGTGAGATTTTTGTAAGAAATTATGCATTAATTCAGGAGAATGTGAAAAATTCAATTGAGTCCATTTCTATAAAATGCCTTCAAATCCTGCCTACAGTCATGATCAAATTATCTCTGCATGAACTCTTAAAGCCTTGTTCACCCATCTTCAGCACTTGGGTTTCTCTGAAGGGAGCACTTGTATTTAGTAGATGAACATTACTGGCAAAGTGAGGTTTTACATTAATACTCTTTCTCTTCCCTCTTCACAAAATCTCACCTTTATCTTAGACTTTTCTGACTCTTTTTTACTTATCAGCTGTCCTCTGTCCTCCCACTTCAACCTTAGTTCAGGCCTTCATATTTTATCTCCTAGACTACTCTCAACCACTGATTGAGACTCTTTGAATTCTGGTTTCACTTTAATATTTAGTAACTGTATTATTTTCCCACAAGAGTTTTATCTGAGATCCTCAACTGAGATCAATCACTCAATCAATTAACAAGCATTTATTAAGTACCACTTTGTATTAGGCGCAGGGCTAAGTGGGTGGGAAAAAGGTGAAAATAAAAGCCTTTGCCTTCAAAGAGCTTTTGTTTCAATGAGGGTAGATATGAGAGGTTGTTCACAATGAGTTTAGAGGCAAATTCACAAGAATATTCCGTTCAGATCTTTAATATAAAAGTGTCAATGCTAAGCTTCTGGAGTACTGGGACTGCCACTTTCCCCAACCCTACCCAGTTGTTGATACATAAGTAGTAGCTTAAATGTATATTAATTGATATTTGTTTTATTTGCAATTATCAGATTAGCAAATTTGCTAATTTGCTAATTGTTATTTATAGGTTTTACTTATATTCCCCTTAGTCCTAATGGCTTTAGTCTGTTCAGAATCCCTGACACCTCTAGGCATAATTTTTTTCCCCCAGACCAGTGATTTTTTAAAAAATAAATTATTATTGATATAGATTACTTTTAATTCACTCGTTTCTACCTGTATCCTTCCTCTTTTTGCTCCCAGAAAGCCATAAAATAAAGAATTTTTAAAAAATAGGAAGAATAAAGGTAGCAAAACTGACCCATACATTGAAAAAAATCCTTTAAAATATATTTAATTTTTCACATTCATGGATATCTCGGCTCTGCAAAAGAGTGGGGTGTCTTTTCACATCTTCTTTGCAGTCAAGTTTGTTCTGTGTCACTTTTAAACATCAATTTTTGAGTGCTCTGTGGCTGCTGTTCTATTTGCATTATAGTCATTGTGTATAATTTTCTGTTTACTTGACTTTGTTCATGTAAGTCTTTCAGTATAATTCTCTGTATTCATCATTTCCTGTAGCATGTATCACAATTTATTTAGACATTCTCCACTTGATGACAAATACTTTGTTTCCAATTCTTTGCTACCAAAAGGCCCATTTTACATTATAGGAGGCCTTTTGGTAAGTAGCCTTGGTATATACGACTAGTTGTGAGCCAAATGGTATGGGAAGTTTCAGCATTTTTTTTTGCATAATTCAAATTATTTTCTAAAATGATTGTGCTAATTCTGAACCTTTGCTTTTTTTTGGGGGGGGGACAACTGGGGTTAAGTGACTTGCCCAGGGTCACACAGCTAGTAAGTGTCAAGTGCTTGGTCAGAGGCTGGATTTGAACCCAGGTCCTCCTGACTTCAGGGTCAATGCTCTATCCACTGTGCCACCTTGCTGCTCCTGGACCTTTGCTTTCTACGAGTAGATTTTGTTTTCTTAAAAATGTTGTATCCCTATCCTTAAGGAGAGGCTTATCCAGATTTCCAGTTATGTTGGTGAAAGGTAGGATCACACTAAACCACAACATTTGATTTCAAGATTCTCTTGATATAGGAAAAGATGCCTTGGAATATCCCTAATTCATTTATTTACTCAACCAACACTTATTGGTTTGTTTCTGGTGTTAAGGGAAATATAACCAATAACTTTATTATTGGTTTCTATTCTTTGGAAATTTTTATTTTCAATAAGCATTAAATGAGCATTTCCATTTATATAATAGAACAGAAAAGGCAGATTATACCAGAAAATGTGAATCTTTATTGAATTTCCTTTTTACCTTATCATTCTACTGAAACTACTCTTTCTAAAGTTTGTAATGATTTTAGTTGCCAAATGCAATGACCTTTTCTCAATCTTCATTAACTTTTTTGCTAACCAAAAAACTATTCTCTCTCATATGCCTGCTGAATTTGAAACAAAGAAGTCTTGTGAAAACATGCAGGCAAGGAAAAATGTCCACATTTGCAGTTTCAGGAAGTGTATGTTCTTATTCTGCACCTTGAGTCCATCTCCTCTGCTCATAAGAAACAGATGAGGCACTGAATAGAATAAAGACAGGAAAAGAGCTGGATTATCTAAAGCATACACGGAGTAAATCTGATGCAAGTGAGAATTTGATGGCATTTAAGTGACTGATTCATGAGTTATCTGTTGGATAGGAAGATACCAAAGCAAGGAAAAGTTTTGGAGCCCTTTTAATACCTAACAGGCAAACATGAACTTCAAGCAGTCCCTTTTTCCCACAGGATAGATGATATACTGTAATACACAAGGAGCAAAGCGGACTTCAATTTCTAAAAATTTCTTGAAAATTTGTATGAGAAAAAACTCCACAAATATTGAGGGCATTCATGATCAGGGTGTTAGTAGACAAGTCCTTTAATGCTATATTCCATAGTGGACAACATCTCCACCAGGACACATTTACCTGAAAGATGTAAAGGATATAAGAAAGCAATGCTTGCCAATCACCAAACATATAGTAGGAGGTATAGAAATATTTAAGGAAGGATGTCAGCATGATTATAGGTAAGATAAAAAAAACAGGACTTAGCATCATTTAACTTTATAATGTTAGAGAAAGTCCATTGTTCACTTGCAAAATTGTGATGAGAGAGATAATTGGACAGAAAGGGTGGTAAATGCCATTTATGTGAGAGAAGACTGAGGTGCCATCAGTGGCAAAAGTAGAAATGGGAGTGGCAAGTAGGAATATTCTTGACAGAGAGGAAACTGGGGAATTTTAAGTTGATAGAAGTGGAGTGGTTGAAATAGAGGGTTGGTAGTAGTGGGATTTGGGTTATTCCCACCTGTGAAGTAGGACTCTTGCCTTGGTGATACAAGCTTGTATTGGAGTCCTAGTAATTAGTCTGGATCTCAGTGATGCTAATCTTCTGATTTCCATTTAGAAATATAGAGAATATTATGGTCCCCTCTTGGCTTCCAGCAGTGAGAGGCAAAATTCTCTATACCCTAAGTATGTTTTAGAGAAGAAATATCCTTAATAAACTGTCCTTTTTTCCTACAGGTTGGATGAGATCCTCCAATTCACAATGAACATACTGGCATACTTAGAAGAGAAGTAATGCCCTCTCTTTCCAAGATGTACACTAATAATTCTCATATGCCAGATATCAACATATCTATCAATGTATAGAAAAAGAAAAATCCTCAGTCCTCCTCAAAATATTCACTTTATTATTTATAATTTTAACATAGTCAGCTAACATCTCAGTCCCACATTTGTGGCAAAGCAATATCCCCCCAGTTAAGAAAGTGCATTGTTATGAGGGCAAGGTTTTCTCCCAAGTATCAGGGTCTGGTATCACTGTTGAATGAGAGGATTTCTTTCTCTATGGCTCCAAACTCCAAGTATAGGGAATGCTGTCTCCCTTGGGTTACAGAATAGGATAGACGGCACAGGTAGCAATACCACAGTGGTTGTTCCTGTCCTTTGCAATACGCATGTAGCCTTTTTCACCCCATGCCACACCCCAGCTGAAAGGGAACAGAGCTGGATTAGTGGTACATAGAGAACTGTGCGGGGAGTGAGTCTTCAAAATGGTAGTGGATCATTTTCATTCTTTGTCTTCATTCCTGGGGGTATGAACAATGAGTCTAGGAGCTTATATAGAACACTAGGATTTGGGAAAATCCCAAGGCACATGGAAGGTGAGAGACTGGCTTAATGTCCAACCTGTCACTAATGTAGGAGGAAACCAAAATTTAGTATGAAGACTCAGACTCAATTCCTTGTTGGTCAATAAAATAAATGGAAAAAGCCAGCTCTGTCAAAGAGATATGAAGTTCTCCCTCACATGGACTGGGTTGTGATGAAAAATTCAAAGGACGACGCCTGTCTTCTAAATGTAGAGAAACCCCACTGAGTAAGAAGAGCCTGTTAGCTACCCCAACAAGTAATTTCTACACCTTTGTCGTCTTCCATACCTATTTTTAAGAATCCAGAATTTCTTCTCTTCATTTTGGTTTTCTTCTGTCGACTGGTTTTCATGTCCATATCCAACCAACACTAAAGCATGGTTTGTGTAACGTGGTTTGCATTTTGAGTCAACGAAAATTCCTAGAAAATGTGAGGTTGTGGTAAAGATAAAAGCTCTTTGGGGCAGCTAGGTGGCTCAGTGGAAAGAGCACCAGGCCTGTTGTTAGGAACACCTAAGTTGAAACAGACACTTTCTAGCTGTGTGACCCTGAACAAGTCACTTAAATCTGTTTGCTTCAATTTCCTTATTTGTAATATGGGAGTGATTAAATATTTCCCAGGCTTTTTGTGAGGATCAAATGAAAGATAGTTATGTGTCTGAGGCCGCATTTGAACTCAGATCCTCTTGAATCCAGGGCTGGTGCTGTATCCACTGCACCCCCAACTGCCCCTGGGCATCCATTTTGACACCATATCTGACTGGCTCCATGTTGGCCCCTTACCTCCTCTATAGTAAATAAAGGGCTTCCGTGCATTCACTGACACGGACACTGGCCCCACAGTTGCCACGGTCTTCCTCAGAATTTCTTCATTTCCAAAGGGGAGGACTACATGTTTTTTGATTTTAACAACTGCACATTCCTTGTTATAAGAGCACTTCTTATTTTTCTGAAAGAGACAGTTAATTGGAGGAAGTCAGCAGACATTTGGAATGGAAAAGACATTAACTAGGAATCTGATGAAACCTCAGTGTCTAGTCAAACTTTTATAGGCGGTTGATTATGGTCATTGTTAGAACCTCTACATCAAGTCTCAGGAAGCTCTGTTCCTAGCTGTCATCTCCTTGGAGAAGCACAAGCATAACACTTAATTTATTAGAGGGATTTCCTCTTTTTGTTTTTGTGAGGCAGTTGGGGTTAAATAACTTGCCCAGGGTCACACAGCTAGTAAGTGTCAAGTGTCTCAGGCTAGATTTGAACTCAGGTCCTCATGACACAAAGGCCAGAGCTTTATCCACTGTGCCATCTAGCTGCCCCTAAGGGATTTCCTAATTTACTTGTCCATTCACTTCAGACTTGTAAGGATTTTTTTCTTTTAAATGCCATACTCACAATCTCTGTCAAATTCTCTCCAGGTGTTTTTTTTTTATTGTTGTTGCAGTCATGTGCTATATGAATGTGCTTAAGTACAGAAAATATTCCCTCCAGAAATCCTTTACTCAGTGCACTAGGTCTTATCCACAAGGTGTAGGACCTGAGCTTACGTTTCCCCAGTCTTGGCAAAATTGGCCAGCCCACTCAAGGCTGGCAATGCAGGGTGTAGCTTCATTTACCTTGGCCACATAAGGGTAGCATTTCTCAGAGACTAAGCCCTTATTTCTTTTGATATAAACGAAAGCACCAATGGCACTTCCCCCGTTACAGCCTTGGAATCTGGAACAGTCAATCAGGTTCTGTTTACTCAGTTCTACAAGTTTGCCTGTTTTCCGGAGGAGCTGGCCTTCTAGAGATCCAGTTGCACTAAATGCCCAGCAGGAGCCGCACCTCCTCTGAAAGAGAAGACAACAACTAAATTATTTTTGTACTCAAAACTGCTGCAGTGCCTAGTTGGTGCAAGACTCTGAACGTGTAACAGGATAGATCGGTATCTGTTGGAAGAAGAAATGAATTCATGGGAAGCAAGAAGAGTTCAGGTAAGGTCCCAGCAAAGGGACTCTTGGTGTTTCTATCCCCCCGAGTTGGATGCCTGTGATTCATGTTTCATGCCTGATCATTTATTGTGATGGTGGCATGGTCAATACCCTGTGCCCAGTGGTCAGTCAGTTGACGTCTCAATGTTTCCTTGCCCAGATTTTTGCAAGAGTGATTGTCACAAATGTGCATAGGTAGCATAGGTGGTAACACTTGAGGGAAATAACCTCTGTAAATGCAAACCTCAAATAATATTAGATGAGGGATAATACCTGATTTCTAACAGGGGTCATGTAGCCAAGCCTTCTCCAGTCGATTGATTTGGGAGGATCAGAAAAATTTGAAAAAATCGTGGCTGTGGTGGTATCTCTCCTTATCCTTGGTGGTGACATCTTGGGGTTCAGCATTTCCTTGAATTCTTCATCAGTCTGAAATAATAGCAAGCTATCTTATGTGGGGCACAGAATCAATATTCCTTGTTTAGTAAAAGACTTTGATGAGTTTGATGATACAGCTTCCCTGGCCAACTTTTCCAGTACTGACAACACCTTCACTCATTCCCCTCAGCTACTGGTTGAAATGGAGTTAGAATACTCCTTACTCCCTATTGCCACTTCTCCATTCCCCTTTTTTCACTAGGCAACCTCTCTTCTTTTGAGGTTTCTGCTATTCATATGTACTCCCCAATCAATATCCTGGTAACTGTTGTCTACAAACTCCCCAGGTCACCATTCCCCTTTCTTCCTCAATAAGTTTGTTATCTGGCTTGCAGTTTTTATCTCCTCCCCAACTCCTACCCTCATACTAGGGGACTTCAACATACATCCCAATGCTCCCTCACCTAACACCCACTTCCTGAAACTACTCACCCCCCATGAGCTACTCCTTCTCCCCATTTCAGCCATACAAAAAGATGGTCATACTCTTTTTGCCATCTCCCACAAATGTACCATGTCTGTATTCAAGAATTCTGAAATCCTCTTATGCAACCATAATGTATTGATTTTTCACCTCTTACTCTGCTTTCCCTTACATAACCTATTCTTCATCCCCACCATGACTCCAATCTCCTGACTTCATTTCTCTCCTAGGCCATCTCCTTTGGGCTGACCATTCTCTTTTCTCCTCCACATCTTGCTGATTTGGTGAATCAAGTCAAACCTACACTCTCTTCTCCAGTCTGGATTCCCTAGTGCCCTTATCATATCACTGATTATACCCGGTCAAGCCTTATTCTTGGATCATTCCCACCTTTCCTCATCACCTTCCCTACTTCATACACACTGCTGAATGAAGGTAGAGAGAATCACACAACTATTCTTACTGAGTCCACTTTAAATTATGTTTACATAACATCACCTCACCTCTGGACATTCACTGTTGATAGGCAATCCTTTTATACCTCTCGTATCAACTCACTATCCTATTCTCCAGAGGCTTTTCCAAACCTTATCAACCCTCTTCAAACTACTCTATCAATGAAATATCTTTTGCCACTTTCTCCTTTATCATTGTTTCTCCTTATCAAGGCTGACCCTTCTACTTCTTTAAGTAGATCCCATTCCATCCCATCTCCTCCAAAACATTGCACCCTGTCACCCCCACTTTGATTTATTTTTAATGTCTCCCTGCCTAATGGTTTATTTCCTACTGCCTAAAACCAAGCCTATCTCTCCCCTATCCTTAAAGGCCTCTCTTAATCCTTCTATCCATGATAACTGTCATTCTGTTTCTCTTCTGCCCTCAAAAAGGCTATCTACAATTGTTGTGTCAATTGTGCCCAACTCTATTACCCCATTTGGGGTTTTCTTGGCAAAGGTACTGGAGTGGTTTGCCATTTACTTCTCTATCTCATACAGATGAAGAGGACAAACCAGATAAGTGACTTGCCCAGGGTCACATAGTTTATCAGTTTCTGAGGCTGGATTTTAACTCAGGTCCTTCTGACTCAAGGGCTGGCATTCTATTCACTTTGCCTCCATTTTCTCTCCGCTCTATTTAACCTCTTACATTCTGGCTTCCAATTTTATCATTCTGCCAAAACTGCTCTCTCTAAAATTACTAACGAACTTAGTTGCCAAATTTGATGACTTTTTCTTCATCCTCATTCTCCTTTACCTCTCTGTAGCCTTTGACAGTGTTGACCCTTTGTCTTCTCCTTGATACTCAATTCTGTCCAGGTTTTCAGGACACTGCTTTCTCCAGATTTGCCTCCTACCTATCTGACCACTCCTTCTTGTCTTCTTTGTTGGATCCTCCTTCAAATCATGCCAAATACAGGTTTCCTACAAGTTTCTGTCCCGTGCTATCCTATTTCATTCAGTAGGTGATCTCAACAGGGTCTATGGATTTAATTACCATCTCTATGCTGATGACTTTCAAACCTACCTTTCCTGCCCCATTAGCTAGGTTGACCTCCAGTCTCCCTTCTCCAATTGCCTTTCAGACATCTCAAATTACAGATCTTAAACTCAAAACTATCCAAAACAGAACTCATTTATCTTTCCCTCTAAACCTTCCTCTCTCCCTAGATTCCCTATTACTGTAGAAGACAACATCATCCTTGTAATCCTTCAGGCTTATAGCTAGAAGTCATTATGGATTCTTCATTATCTCTCACTTCCCCTATCCAAACATTTGCCAAGTGCTGAGATTTCACTTTTGCAACATCTCCGTAATATGTCCTATTCGCTCTTCTGGTACTACCACTCTCTTGCTGTGGGCCCTCATCACTTCATGCCTGGACTATTATAATAGCCTGCTGGTAGTTCTGCCTGTCTCAAGTCTTTGCTCAACCCAGTCCATTGTCCATTCAGACACTAAAGTGATTTTTCAGGTCTGATAATATTTAATAAACTATTGAATTTTCATTATGCCCTATTCAATAAACTCCAATATGTTTCTATTGACTCTAATAGCAAATACAAAAGACTCGCTTTGAAATTCAGAGACCTTCATAACCTAGCCCCTTCCTTCCTTTCCAATCTTCTGATACCTTCCTCCTCACCAGGTGCTCTTTTGTCTAGTGACAATGGCCTAATGGATGTTCTATGAACAAGACACTCCCATCTTTCAGCTCCAAACTTTTTCTCAGGTTGTTTCTCTTACCTCTAATGCTCTATCCTCTGTTCCTATTTGACTATTGACTTCTTTGTCTTCTTTTAAGTCTCAATTAAAATCCCACCTATCTAAGGGAGCCTTCCCTGACCTCTCAATTCCATTGCTTTCCCTCTTTTAATTATTTCCTATCTATCCTGATTAAAACTTATTTTGAATATTTGTTTGCATGTTGTTTCCCATATTAGATTCTAAGTTCTCTCCTACTTCTTCTTTCCTCCATTTGGACTGCTATGTGGCACAGTAGATGGAGCACTGGGCCTGAAGGCAGGAAGACTTGAGTTCAAACATGGCCTCTGACACTTATGTGACCCTGGACAAGTCATTAAATTGTTTTCTGTTTCCCTAAGTTTTCATACCTCACGAATAACCTGGAGAAGAGATGTCAAACCACTCCAGTATCTTTGCCAAGAGAACATCAAATAGGGTCAGGAAGAGTTAGACATGGCTCATAAACAACCACAATCTTTTGTGTCTTTGTATTCATAGCACTTGGCACAGTGCCTGGCATATAGTAGGTGCTTGATAAATGTTTATTGAATGAATTAATTTACCACTCACTTACCATGTCTCCAAAATCATTCATCTCCAGGTAGTAGCTCAGCTTCCCTTCTTTATACAGGAGATTTTGATCATTAATGAACTCCAGGTTCTTCTCCCACACCTGTCTCCTAAAAGATTCCTCCTTCTATGGGAAAATTTAGAACACAAACAATAATGTTAAGAGATGGCTGGCCATGAGCTTTCTTTGCCCTAAAGTTCTGAATGCCCAATCACATTGTCTAGACATGCATAGGCAGGTGCTATGGGGAACATAAATTGCCTCTTAACACCAAGACAAAGCTGAGTTACCTTCAAATGGTCTCTATGTCCTTGGGACATAGAATTCTAAGATGCTTTAATGCAGGAGAGATCACAGGGGTCATCTAATCCAATCTATACCTAACCCAGAGTCTTCTCTAAAATGTCTTTGAAGATATGTCTTTCCCTTTGAGGTCCTTGGTCCATTTGATACATGACATGGCCACCTAAGCCACTTAGGGACAGCTCAACTTGGTAGGCAGTTTCTCCTTATAGAACCAAGATCTACACCTTCTAAGCTTTTCTCTGAAGGTTGCCTTGTGCAGAAAAGTAAACTAAGTTTGATGGCTCTCCCACATGGACATGTACTAGCGGGCACCTATGATAGTCATAGGTTTTACTCTTCTTGATGAAGTCTAGAGGTTTAGGGGTGCTGGGACCTCAAGATCACGACAAGCAGGTCCTGCCCAAAAGAATTGACCCAAGCCTTCTTTGAGTCAAAGACAAGGTTTATTAAAGATCTGCCATATTAGCTAGACTCTTAAGGAATCTGAGCATCTATGAGCTATTGGCTAGATTGTAAAAATCTGAGCAGTTGGCTAGATTATAAGAATCCAAGCATCTTAATGGAGACGAGATGAACCTTATATATAGAAAGACTATGGGAGAGATCTAGGGGTGGCCAAGGGAGAATGGAGCCTAGATAGGATTAAAGGTGGGAAATGGCCGGGGCCACAGGGAGGTAAGACAATGGAGGGCCAGGCTAGGTTAAGGGTAACAGAGATTGGGTTTTTCCTTTTTGAGGTCTAGCTCCCATCCTCATGATTCTGACTTGAACCTTCCAAGTAACTTCAACCAAGCATAGTGTGGATGCAGCTATGTTATGGCCAAATCTCATTCTGTCAATGTGAATTTTCTAATTGGTCATCAGAAGTTCAACTCAATACTGCAGTGAGGCTGGGTGTCTCACTAGGGTAGAGTTAGAGAAACCATATTATACCCTCACTCAGTTCTTTGAAGTATGCATATTCCCATCCATTATCTAGAGGGTTCTCACAAAAAAGACATTACCTACCTCAGTATAGTTCCTTCCATATGTGGACTTAAACAGTTCCCATTCAGTGTCCAGCTCTGGGTTTTTTGTGGCAAAACAATATGAAAGTCCCCAGCAAAGGGAAACCAGGCAAATAAACTCTCTCATAGTGGCTTCCTTTTGCTGGAGTAGTCAGAGTTGTGAGAGACTCTGTACTGTTGGAACCTATTTTGAAAACATTTACAGATCTTTTACAAAAATGATGGGGTCTCATTCCAAATTTCTATTCACTTGGTGGTCAACTTAGTTGAGAGAATGAAGCTAGAGTGATAGTGGGAGGATATGAGGGTGGTCAGTGCTTCCTAAGTGTCTGGTCACCCTTTCCCTAATTCCTCACTCTGTCATTCTATTGTAGGCCTAGTGTGACTCCAGTATTACTAGATTTTTACTTCTTTCAGAATCCAAATATTCACATACCATTTCTTAAAACCCTAACCTCTTATACGAAAAGACTGTTATTGAATGACACAAAGTATGGGCCATAATAGCTTGGATACCCATCTATCTCACCCCATTTTTCAAAGGATTTCTCCTTTCCAAAATAACTGGCAGATTTGCTCTGCTCCCTATCTTTGCCTGTTCTCCCAGATGTCAGCCCCACTGCAAAGAGAAGGCCCAAAGCTATCCCATGACTCACCTGGCAGAGGAAACTGCAATCAGTCACAAGGGAGTGGAGAGAAAGGATCTTCAACAAGGCTGAGAAATCTGGCCTTCTGACATGTCTTCCATGATAAGCTCCAGCTTTGGGTTTAGTTCCATGCCTTTTCCTCATCTTGTATTTATACCAAGTCTAACCAGCCTCAAGGCTAAGTATAGTGTACAAAATCACAATTTGCTCTTCCTTCAGCACCTGGGGCTTTAGGGAGGGGCTAAAAACCAAATCAGTTTATCTTTAGCAAGCCTTAAGGCATTTTGGATAAAATTACTGATTGATGAATTATTGACTAAAATTACGCGAATTCTGAGGGGAGTAGAATAAAAGGTGCAATGTGAGTATGAGGTATAATCTCTTCTTTGAATCAGACTGCTTGATAAAAGTTTAGGTGCTTTTGTTCTGGAAGTTTGCATGCCTAGCTATGAGACTCCAAAGCAGGGGCTCCTCTACTTTTGCGGCTATGCATTTAGTCATTCCTGGGTACAATTGGGAATTATAGCCGTTTCCTTTGTGACAGATAAGGTGTAGGTAGCCTTTGTTACAAGGAAATCAGCAAGCCAGCAAATGAAATGGAAAGATCCTTTGATGGCCTGAGGGCTTCCATCCAGGGCAGCTATCCGGCAATTAAGGGAAAGTAAAGATGCTATAATAGCAAATCAAGATATATGGTAAGATGGATTTTCATTGCTAGGTTATATTAAAGTTTCCCAACTTGCCATACTTCCTGTGCTGTGAGAATGAGAAGTTGATGGAAGTACTGAGTATAGAAATAATTGAACGGACTTGAAAACATATTAATCAGGGCAGCCTGTGCTTGAAGGAAACAGAATTATATTAGTTATCAGTAGTGGCCTAGCTCAGGAACCATGAAAACAAGGGAATAAGGAAAACTTTGTCATTTGCTAGTCTTGATACTGGGAGTGTGGAAGTGAGCTGAAACTAAAGCTTACAATTTTGGCAAATAAGGGACAAAAGCTTTGAAAATGCCAAAGCATTGAGTCATGCAGTGTTAGAGATAGACAGAAATTGGCTCCATGTCTAAACTTCCTAAGTGCAGGGAAACAGCTTGCTTGAAGGGTGCGAGAAATTTGGAAGAGTCATCTCTGTTAAGGTTATGTCTAGCTCCCCTCAAATGGAATAGGGTAAATTAAAAATTAAGTGAGAAAATCACAAATATTGGAAGAGATGTGGGAAAACGGAGACATTAATGCATTGTTGGTTGAGTTGATTCACCCAGTTCTGGAGAGCAAACAGGAACTATGCCCAAAGGGCTATAAAACCTTACTTGGATTTGGCAATTCACTCTGGATCTCTTGCATTGGACTATGGGTCCCAGACCAAGCACAACTTAATGGTTATTTTTTGGGCCCATCTGGCTCCAAGCGAATATAAACAGAAACAGTTTCTCTTTTGGCCACCAACCCTGAGCATCTTCCCTTCCCAGTTTGCTTTTTTTTTTTTTGTTAAAGCAACCGTCCCTTGACTCACTTCTTAAAGAGGCCTATTCACTGAATGAGCAGTTGCCTCACTCTAAGTGAGAAACTGGAAAGACCTTAGCTTTTGGGCCAAGGTCTCCCACTACATCCTGGGCCATCTCCAGTCATCCTAATGGATGTCTGGTCACTGGACCCAGACTCTGGAGGAGAAAGTGAGGCTGGTGACTTTGCATAGCTCTTCCTCACTCAAATCAAAGTCCATTGTAAGTCATGTCATCATGTCCCTGATGTCATGATCCTCTTCCAGAACGAAGGACAAACCATACAACTACTAGGTCTGCATCTCAAAGAGATAAAAAAAAACAAAAAGGAAAAGGACCTCTAGGTGTAAAAATATTTATAGCAGCTCTTTTTGTGGTGGCAAATTTTTGGAATTGGGGAATGCTCATCAGTTGGAGAATGGCTGAATAAGGTGTGGTATATGATTGTGACAGAATATTATTGTACTATAAGAAATAACAAGTAGGATGCTATTACCAAAATGTGCTAATGATAAGGATGGGAGCTACACCCCCAAAAAGGAAAAACCCTGGATGTTCCCACAATGGCCAAATCTCTGGTGTTTGCCTGAGGCTATAATCCCATTAACTGGCCTTTCACTGTGGCTACTAGCAGTCTCCCAATTCTGTTACTCTTAACCTTAGTTTAGCCCTCCATTGTCTTACCTCCCAATGGCCCCAGGGCACTTCCCACCCTTAATCCTATCTAGGCTCCATTCTCCCTTGGCCAATGTGGTCCAGGTCCCTGGAGTTCTATTACCTCATAGACTACTTGGCCAATCCTAGATCCCCCTATAGTCTTTTTGTATTGTAAGGTCCATCTTGTCTCCATTAAGATGCTTAGATTCTTAAAATCTAGCCTCATGCTCAGATTCTTTTAACATAGTCAATAATTTACAAATGTTCGGACTCCTTAAGAGTCTGCCCAGTATGACAGATGTTCTAATAAACCTTGTCTTTGGCTGAAAGAAGTCTTGGGTTGAATTCTTTCCGGCAGGGTCCACGTGTTATGATTTTGGGGTCCTGGTACGCCTAAACCCCTAAACTTCAACACTGAAACTAACATGAACTGATGCAAGGTGAAGTGAGGAGAACCAGGAGAACACTGAACACAGTAACAACACTAATGTACAGTGATCAACTATGAATGACTTAGCAATTCTCAGTTTGGAAAATTATTTTTCTTAGTAATCATTGTTTTGGAAATTCATAGCTTCCTCATCCCCCTTTCTTTCTAAGTTCAATCCTTCAGAAGGACATTAAGATATAATTTAAATGGGTCTATTCCTGCTCATTATGTTGCCTGAATAGGTCTGGGAGAATGTTGATTCCTCCCTATTGTCAAGACAGGTGATATGGAAATTGATGTCTCTTTGACCGGAATTGAGTGGGAGGGGTGTGGTGGGGGTGAGGGGGCCTTAGGGGAGCCCAGTTTTGGACTGAACTCCTATGCAATGCATGTCAATCCACCTTGAGAGAAATTAAACTGTGGACACATGCACTCCAATTTCATTTGTCTCTTAGAGCAGACTCTGTTTCAAATTGGGGTTTGTGGAGTTCATTGAGTTCAGGGTTCACATCAGCAATACAAAGAGCCAAGGCAGTTCTGAAGGACTTAGGATGAAAAACTCTATCCATTTCCAGAGAAAGAACTGATAGAATCTGAAGGCAGATCAAAGCATACTTAAAATTTTTTTCTTTATTTTTCTTGTTTTTCACAGCATGACTATTATGGAAATGTGTTTTGCAGGACTGTACATATATAATCTATATCTAATTGATTGTCTTCTCAATGATTGGAGAGGAAATGGAAGGAGAGGGAGAATTTGGAACTAAAATTTTTTAAATGAATGTTAAAATATTTTTTACATGTAATTGGGAAAAAATAAAATAGTTTTAAAAAAAGAAAATTAATGAGGTCACCAATTCCCATACTCCAACTAGTATATTTGTATAGGCAAACCCTTGTAAGTAGAGTGAAGGGCCCCCCTTTCTCTTACCACATCTGTATAAGATGATTCCCAGTATACACAAGTGCCATTCTTTTGGCTCAAACAACATGTGTACTTACTTTGCAATCCTCCATACATTTTCTTTTAAAAATTGATTCAATACTTCTGTCCACCCGGGTTTTCTCCTTCATATCCATAGCCCATAACCAGAATGGCACAGTTCAAAGCCAGCTGCTGCAGTTTGGTTCATAATAAATTCCTGATAAAATTCAAGGTGGTGATAAAAAATAAAAAGAGAAGAAATTCAGAGTTACATCTCAGGGCAGAATTTGGGGCAGGTCCATTCTATATACCTGATTGATAGAAGCAGAAGGATAAATGCCTGGCATCAATTGATACTGGTCCCACAACTGTTACAGCCTGCTTGGCAACCTGTTCATCTTGAGAAAGGATGTCCACACATCTACTAAGTTTAGCAGCTACACACTTGGGTCTGTAGGAGCACTGTGGTTCTTCCTAAAGCAGAAAGAAATATTTTTCATTGGGGGGGGGTCCTTAGTTTTTGGGTCCGGCTTATCTGCTCTCTCCCAGTTTTGCAGATAGCTACTCCATGGACCAGTCTATTTGCCACCATGGGTAATTCAATTAAATTATGTACTAAAACCCAATACTGGGAATACAAAGACAAAATAGTACCTGCCCTCAAAGAGCCTGGATTCTCTTGTGGAAATACCTATACAGAGAAGTAAAATAAAAGATAATCTGAAGAGATAGGGAATTTGTTCTGTAAAATTTGGATTTAGTCAAAAGGCTGCACTTAAGGATCTAGAAGGCCACACATGGCCTTAAGGCCACAGGCTATCTAATTTTGAGCTTAGGCAACACAGAGGAGCAGTTTGGTTAAAACCCAGAGTATCTGAATATTAAATAATGTTGGCAAGGCAGTTTGGATGCAGACTGTGAAAAGCCATAACACTTCAGAAAAAGATAGGGAGTTGGTGGTGGAAGGGGGTTCAGGAAAGAATTCAAGAAAGAGGTTAAGGTTGGATATATAGATTTGGGAATTATCTTTGTAGAGATGGTACTTATACCCATGGGAGCAAATAAGATCTTTAGGAGGGTTCTTATAGAGAGAAAAAAGCTGAGGGGACAGGTCTAAAAAACTGTCAAACTGAGGAGTCAGAATATGAATAATAGTTCAGCAAAGGGAACTAAGGAAAAGTAGTCAGGCAGGCAGGAGAATCAGGAGAAAATGGTGTCACAATTTATATTTACCTAGGAAGAATTCCAGTGGACCTTCACAATTGTTCCCCACAGCTCCCACCTGAAGTCTTCTCTTGGTATCAAACTGGTGGACAGATATCTGAAGGAGGCCCCATTTCCTAAGGACAATAACATCCACCGTGACATTCATGATGTAATGTTGGCTGGACCAAACAAGGCCATGGTGACAGAGGCCCTAGACTGAACAAGGGATTCCAAACAAGGGATGAGCTGTGGGAGATCAGCACTAAGAAAATCCAAGGTCCAACCTGCTTAGTCAAATTTGGAGAATACAGTGTATGGGGAGAGGCTTAGATGCACTCCAGAGCTAGGTACTGACATCTGCTAGCACAAGGCACTGAAGGCAGCAAAGGCCCCAGTAGCAGGACCAGTTTCAAAGGTTCCAGCATAAACAGCAGCAGTGCAGGTCAGCAGAGTAGGGTCATAAGTACCAGGAGCTGATAGTGTTACTGTCAATGTCCATGAATAGGCAGCAACTCCACTAAAGGCTGAGACCTTTCTAATCCTAGCTCTGACACCCTCCCTCTTCTGCTAGCTACTTTGCCTGTGAAGGCCTGACTCCTGCAGATCTGTTTTTCCTGGTTTACTAACAGTTTCACATATTGCAAAAGAAGCATGCACAAATGGCCTCCGATAGCCATCAATGAATCTAATAACAGATGATAGCTTGGGGGACAGAGGTCTTGTCAAGTCCCCCCAGTGAGTTGAGATAAGGCAATACATGACTGGCATGTGAGAGAGCCTTTAGGAATAGCACAGATAAGGCATTCAGCTGCACTGGATTCCTAGACAGTGGACATGTGTCTGAAGCCTGGAGGGAATAGATTTGGTTAATTAACGGCATTGGAAAAATTTCCACAAAAAACAAAGACCACAACAACCCTGCCATGCCCCCCCAACCCCTCCCAACACAATGAGTATTTTCTAAGGCATGTTTAGCACCCTTAATAATAGTAATATTATTACTATAACAAAATAGTAAAATTATTGCTACAATAAAATAGTAAAATTATTACTATAATAAGATAGTAAAATTATTACTATAATGGTGATATTGTCAGCACCCATAATAAAATTATCAAATGTTCTCTGTTGAACTGAACAATCAGGTCACACAGTGTTGGCTAGGTGGACAGAAATTGGCTCCATGTCTAAACTTCCTAACTGAAGTGAAACAGACAGCTCTCTTGTGGGGTGGCAGAAATTTGGAAGAGTTGTCTCTGTCAAGATTATGTCTAGCTTCCCCCAAATGGAATAGGGTGAATTGAAAATTACTAAGAAAATGATAAATATTGGAGGGGATGTGGGAAAATTGAGACACTAATGCACTATAGGTGGAGTTGTAAACTTACTCACTTATTCTGGAGAGCATCTTGGAACTATGTCCTTTGACCTAAGAACTAGTACTAGTACTAGTTCTGTATTCTCAAAAGATAAAAGACAGAAAAGGACTAACACGTACAAAAGTATTTGTAGCAGCTCTTTTTATAGTGGCAAATAATTGGGTGCCCATCAATTGGGGAATGGATGAATAAAGTATGGTATATGATTGTGATGGAATACCATTGCACTGTAAGAAATAACAAGCAGGATGCTCTCGCCAAAACATGCTAAGACTGACATGAACTGATGCAAGGTGAAATGAGGAGAACCAAGAGAACACTGAACACAGTAACAGCACTAATATACAATGATCAACTGTGAATGACTTAGCAATTCTCAGTAATACAAAGTGTTAAGGCAATTCTGAATGACTTATAATGAAAAACACTGTCCCTTTTCAGGGAAGCAACTGATGGAGTCTGAAGACAGATCAAAGCATACTTTTTAAAAATTTCTTTATTTTTCTTGTTTTTTTTTCCCCTCTGTTTTCTTTCACAACATGACTATTATGGAAATGTGTTTTGCAGGACTGTAAATGTATAATCTATATCCAATTGATTGCTTTCTTAGTGATTGGGGAGGGGAAGGAAGGAGGGAGAGAATTTGGAACTAAAAATTTTAAAAATGAATGTTAAAATTTCTTTACATATAATTGGGAAAAAATAAAGCATTTTTTAAAAAAAGGGAATTAAAAGAGGTCACCAATTCTCATACTTCTTCTAGTACATTTCCACAGTTCAGGCAAACCCTTTTATACAGAATTAAAGAGGGGGCAGCTAAGTGGCACAGTGGATAGAGTGTTAGCCCTGAAGTCAGGAGGACTTGCGTTTAAATCTGGCCTCAGACCAAACACTTGACACTTACTAGCTGTGTGACCCTGGGCAAGTCACTTAACCCCAATTGCCTAAAAAAAAAAAAAAAAGAATTAAAGAGCCTGCCTTTCTCCCACCATCTCTGCATGAGATGACTCCCACTACACGCAAGTGCCATTCTTTTGACTCAAACAACATATATGCTTACTTCACAATCCGCCATACTTGTTTTTAATGATCCAACATTTCTGTCCATCTGTGTTTTCTCATTCATAATCATAACTCACAACCAGTCTAGCATGGTCCAATGCCAGCTGAGCAGTTAGGTTCATAATAAATTACTGAAAAAATGCAAGGTGTTGATAAAAAATAGAGAAGAAACTCAGCCTGACACCCCATAGCAGAATTCAGGGCAGGTTCCCTAAGTACACCTGATTGATAGAAGCAGAAGGATGAGTTTCTCGAATCAATAGCCACTGACATTGGCTCCCTAGCTCCTACAGCTTACATGACAGCCTATTCACCTTGAGAAGGGATTTCCACAAATCCGCTAACTTTAGCAGCTGCACATTTGTCTGTAGGAGCACTGTGATTCTTCCTAAAGCAGAAATATATATTTTTTTGGGGGTTATTGGGTTCTGGGTCTGGGTTAACTGATTCCCCCACAATTATGGCAAGAGAAATATGGACCAGTCAATCTGCTACCATGAGTAAATCAGTTCAATCACGTACTAAATGCCAGGCACTGGGGATATGAAGACAAAATAGTACCTGCCCTTAAAGAGCCTGGATTCTCTTGTGGGGGTATCTTTGGAGAAGTAAAATGATGGATACCATGAAGAGCCATCAAACACTAACAACAAGTAGGGTTACACAGAAGAGCTGGCAGCTAAGCTCAGTTCTGAAGAAAGATAAGAGATGGAGAAGGGGAAGGAAGAAATTCATTCTAGGCATGGGTGGTGGTGGTGGTGGTTTCTAGTGAGTCAGGCTATGCAACGTTGAGCTTAGGGAATACAATGCGACAGTTTAGTTAAAACACATAGTATCTGAATATGAAATAATATTGGCAGTTTGGATGCAGACTGTGGAAGGCCACGTAGGTTAGGCTGAGGAGCTCATATCAAACTTTAGAGGGGAAAAGGAGGATTTTAAGCAGGGGAGTGACATGGTCAGAACTGTGCTTTAGGTAGGTTACTTGACAGCTGTATAGAGGTTGATTCAGAGAGGGGAGGGAAGGAAAGGAAGGAAGCTAATTAGGAGGTCATTGTAAGAACCCAGGAGTGAGGTTACAGGGGTATGAATTTGAATGTTCTCTGTGTGCGTGGAGAGAAGAATGCAAAGGATATTATGGAGAATCAAAAGACTTGGGAAGTGATTGGATATGGTGAATGAAGGAGTAAAAAGTCATGGAAGGGGGCAGCTAGGTGGCACAGTGGATAGAGCACCAGCCCTGAAGTCAGGAGGGCCTGAGTTCAAATACAGCCTCAGACCAAACACTTGACACTTACTAGCTGTGTGACCCTGGGCAAGTCACTTAACCCCAATTGCCTAAAACAAAAAAACGAAAACAAAAGTCGTGGAAGGCTAAAAGTTGACAGCTTGGGCACACGGAAACAGTTCCCTCAAAAGAAATAAAGGTTTGGAGGAGTGGTGGACTCAATGGGTAAAATAATGAATTTCATTTTAGACACACTGAATTTGAGATGCTTACAGAACTATCTAGGAAAAAACAAGGAGTTGTTGGTGGCAGTGGGTTCCAGAAAGAGTTCAATAAAAAGATTAAGGTTACATATGTAGATTTGGACGTTATTTCTGTAGAAATGGTACTTATACTCATGAGGGCTAATAAAATCTTCAAGAGAGAGCTCAGAGAGAGCTCAGAGAGAGAAAAAAAGCTGCCAGAGTCATCCTGTATAGATAATCTCAAACAATCCCAGATTCTAGGAGAAGTAAAAGCTATTTCCTCAAGATATGGAGATGAAAGAAGCCAGAGTACTGCATGAAGCCAGCTGCCTTTATAATAAACCCATGTGGCCAGTGAGGAGGCTGGGTGGCAGGTGATGACTTATAGTGGACTACAGGTTGCTGAACAAAATTGTCACAACAATCACTGAGGCCATTCCTTACTTTTTCAATGAGATGGCCACCTAAGCCCCACAGGAATGGAATGAAGTAGACGAATTTACTGCCTTCCCCCCCCCCCCCACTTTTGTGACTGAAAAGTCAGGAACAGTTTATATTTAGCTAGGAAGAACTCCAGTGGACCTTCACAATTGTTCTCCACAGCTCCTATGTGAACTCTTCCTCTTAGTGTTAGTCTGGTGGACAGAGACTTGAAGGAGGCCCCACTTCCTGAGGACAATGATTTCCACCATGACATCCATGACATAATGTTGGCCAGACCAGACAAAGCCATGGTGACAGAGGACCGAGGTTGGATGGTTGCTCAAATGAGGGATGAGTTGTAGGAGATCAACACTAAGAAAATCCAAGGTCTACCCTGCTCACTCCAGTTTTGGGATATACAGTGCATGGGGAGAAGCTAGATGAGCCTGGATGGAGTCCAGAACAAGCTATTGACATTTGCTAACAAAACAGACATTGGTACTAGTGATGGCAGATGGTTTTTTTTTTAGTTTTAATTTCCGTAACATAGTACAATATAAAATATGATTACACATGAAACGGCAAATCTACTATATACAACTTGCTATTCCTTTCAAATATGTAAAATTGTAATATAAATTTCTTTTTTTCCCTTTTTTTCTACCCTATCTCTACACTACTCTAGAGATAGCTACCATTAGACACAAATAGGTATATATCTATACACATGCAAACACACACATATACATACATATATATATATACACACACACACACATGTAACATACACATACATATGTGTGTACAATTATTCTATAGTTTCTTCCAT